AGGACATGGCATCCCCTCCCCCAGTCTTATTCTCAAGTTTTGGAAATTTTTCTTACAGTCTTACTAATGGCATCTTTCCTTTTGGCCTGCATAAAACCCAGAATATATTACAACTAAAATATGGTACTTCTTGAAGCAAGAAGACCCTAAGAATAATTGCAACCAGGAAGGAGTAAGCAGGGTCCTATCTTTTTTGCTTTCTTTGTGCCAGGCATAGTATAGGCATCATTTCATTAAATTCTTCTAACAACGCCATTATGAAGGTACTACAATTGAAAGTAGATGAATTCATCACAGTTTAATTCATTGAGTGATCAATTTGCAGAATAACAAACTGATCAAATGACTGAGGATGTTTTCCAAGCGTGACTTCTCCTTTGGCTTCGCCGCAGCACTGTGTCACACACTGGTCCGTCCAGCTGTGTTGAGCGCAGCGCATCGGCCACCCGCCAGTGGTTCACACACCACCCCGGCCCCGCCTCTGCCCACAACCTTGCATGTGTGGCTCCTTCTGGCAGCAAAACTGCTCCTGTTGGCAGCCGTCGATCTGGTTTAAGCCATTCGTCTGACAGTTTTTGCATAAATGGCCAACTGATCTTTCCACAAAGTGATTTTGTTTCAACCGACTTGTGAAGAATGGACATGAAACTCATATTACCATCTCCATTTTATGGCTATGGAACCTAAGGCATAAATAAAGCAATCTACCACAATATGCACAGATGGGTCTGATTCTAGAAGCTAAGCTCTCAACCACTGTATCTTGCAACTTCCCTATGAAGCTTAAGTTTTCAATTTCAGGCTTCTGTTTACTGTTGCCATTTCTAAATGCCTTTGGCCTACAGATTTATAAAGAAATGGTTATCTAAGGACAATTCAAGACCATTTGGGGTTGTGATGTATTCGACAAAGTAAGTATTTTCAATGGAATTTGACAAATCCTAAATTAAGTTCGGAGTCAATAAATTCTCCAAGTTTCCTCTTACTCTTAATTCTGAAATGGGATGAACTGGCTGAAGGGATTGAGGGGAAAGGGGGTCAACTCTAGCCAGGGTGTAAGCAGGAGGAATTCAAGTGAAGGACATAATCATCACCCTTTACCACCACCAATGGCCAAAGAAAGGATTCCTTTGGAGGTCCCATGAGACAGTCCAAATACTGGCTCCTTCTTGTTTTAAGGATGCCAGAGATGGACTCAAGGATCTTGAGCCCTGTAGTCAAACTCATTCCCTGCAGAAAAAATGTCTTTCTGTCCTAAATGAGCCTTCACACCTTAATGCACAATACTTTATGCCTTCAAGGTTTCCCTGGACTAGAGCTTTATGCACAGCTGCAGCAAGACCAGGATGTCTTCCAGAAGTCACAGGAGAGGTTCAATTTGCTGGATGCTAGCCAGCAGTCTGTGGGCAGCCTGCCTTTTCCTCAGTCAGGGTTGGGGAGGCTGAGAGAGGAAGTACCTTGATGGAGACCAAAGCCTGGGGATCTCATAGTTGCTGATGAGAACACCTCTAGAACCCCATTAACCACTGTCCTCTGGTTCCATCCTGGAAGTACCTTGCGCGACCACAAAAAGGATGATGGGAAAGTGACACATGTTTGTTTGATGATGTTCCTTGAACAGAATCCATTAGGTAATTTCCCATGGGTTGTATATGGAGTAATAGCTGATGTGAGCTGTTATTCAATAAACAGAGGAAACAAAAGAGCCTTTCTGCACAGTTATAAATCATTTTAATTAGGCTGCTGTAACACAGTCCCGAACCACCATTAGCCTTTCTTATTATTGCTTAAAACTGACTTCTTTTCCCATCTCTCATTTAATACTTAGTTTTTAAGGGAAATGGTAGACTGTTGATTACTTTGCGAAATAAACACAACCTAGTTGAAAACTTGGGCTCCTGTTTGTTTCTTTCAGGCTCTCCCTCTAATGGTCTTCAAAATTGATTCCTGCCACCTCTGCCCTCTCTGGGTATTTGTTTATACCCATCTCATAGAATTTATAACCTTCTCTATGACCAGCATGTTTATGTTCATTGGTTTCTCTCCCTGACCAGACCAGGGGTTGGCAAACTATGGCCCATGAGCCAAACTTGGTCCCAGTGCCTGGTCTTATATGCCCACAAACTAAGAATAGTTTTTATATTATTAAATGGTTGAAAAAAGAGAAGAATACTTAATGACATTTGAAAATTATATAGAATTTAAACTTGAATTTTTATAAATAAAGTTTTATTGGAATTCAGCCATGTCCATTTATTTATATGTTATCTGTGGCTGCTTTTGCACTAAAACAGGAGTGTTAAAAGCAGCTGCAATAGAGACTGCATGGCTCCCAAAGTCTACAATATTTATCATCTGGCCCTTTACAGAAAAAGTGTGTCAACCCCTGGAATAGATTATAAGGTTCTTGTGGACCTCGGCTGAGCCTCAATATTCTTCTGATTTCCTACTCTCCCCAATAGTGCCAAAACTTGTAAACAGTAGGGACATGCTGATTATGAAACATAGAATTTGGACTCAGACCTGAATTTGACTTGAAATCTCTACTTCGTGGTTGCTTGACCTTAAGCAAGTGATTTAACCTTTCTGAGTCTCCGTTTCCTCATCTGCAAAATGGGAATTAGTATATCTACCTCACAGCATTGTTGGCATTTTTAAATAATTTAATGTAGGTAAAATCTCATGTACAATGTCTGGCATATATTAAGCATTCAATATATATTATTGATGTTACTTTTATTAAGGGAAAGCCATTTTTAACCCACCTTCCTAAAAGAAAAAAGCAGGGAAGAAACACATCTTGCCTCTCTCAGGAGCCCTTCCATACTCCTCCTTTGAGAAGAAGAAACTCATCTAGGAGGAGTTTGAGAATGCAAAGCTCGGTTGAGCCACCCATTTCTCTAGTTCCCAACCACCTCTGAGATGTGTTTTCCACAAAACACACACCTTTCGTGTCACTCCAGAAGCAGTCTGCTGGGGTGTTGGGGTGCTGGGGTGGGAATGAGGTGGCAGGTCCGAGGCCTGCCTGCTCTGCCAGTATCTGGTTGGCTAAGCTCACTTCAAGGCAGATGTGTGAAGAAGCCCACGTGCTCAGCAGACCAAGTCACATTTTCCAATTCAACTCCAGTTGTAGTAGAGCTCTTATTTTGACCATTGACTTTCTGATTCTGGTATCTCTCTCTTAGTTGGTTCTGACCTCGGGAGGGGATGAGAGGAGGTCTTTTCCACTGCCCTCTAAAAACTCCAACAGGTACATCATAAATTCTTATACAATTGAACATATTTTCGGACAATGATGCACTTGAATACAAAGCTAACTAGTTAGGAGCAGTCTCCAGAACCAGGCTGCTGAGGGGCTGGACAAGGTGGACAAAGGCCTTTTCTACCTCCTAGGGTGCTCATGGGGTTACCTGAGGGAATTCATGCAAAGCTCTTGGAACATGATATGAGTTATTAACATTACCATATGTATTAAAATATTGTTTTCTGATTCTACATGTTGTATATGTTCACTGTAAAAATAATTGGAGAGTGTTGTGCTAAGCACCTTCTACATATTCCTCATTTACTCAGGCTATGTAGCATACATAATAGCTACAGCATGGCCTACCAGGCGGATAAGAGAATAAACACATAAAGAGAGGACTTAAAAGAGCATCTGGTGGATAGTCAATAAATGCTAGTTACTCTATTGTCATCATTGTTTTGCTATCATTCTCATTATTGGAGGCTCACAAGTGGCCCTGCTGTGAGCAGGTATTATTGTTATGCACACTTTACAGAGCCAGTAGAAGGTTAAGTAACCTGGCCAAGGCCACCAAGAAGTGAGAGGCACAGCTGTGACTTGAATCCAGGTCTGTCAGACTGCAAAACTACCTTGCTACAACTTGAAAGTTCTAGAGACTCTGAACTTCCTGCTCTTCCCTAAACAAGGTAACCAATTCCATGCCCTTGTGCCTCAGCTCATCTTGTTCCTCTGGTGAAGAAGTCCCTATCTCCCATCTGACCAGTGAAGTTCAACACTGAAAACACAGCTCAGGCACCACCACCTCCTGACGCTTTCTTTGACATTTCTCCATTCCACGAGCCCCAGATGCAACAAAGCTAATGTTTCTTTTTTGACATGATCCTTGAGCTAAATTTAGCTGCCTTGCCATGACTGTTACTTGCTCAGAATTATTTCTAAGGATGCCCATGTCTCTATGAGATTGTGGACTTCCTGTGGCCTTTCCATTTCTAAATTCTCAGTGCCAAGCACAGTGCATTTAAGGTGGTGACCAGATCATCTGGGTTTGCCTGGTACTTTTCTGGTTTTAAAATCTAAAGCTCTAGGGCGCCTGGGTGGCTCAGTTGGTTGGGCGACTGCCTTCGGCTCAGGTCATGATCCTGGAGTCCCGGGATCGAGTCCCACATCAGGCTCCCTGCTCGGCGGGGAGTCTGCTTCTCCCTCTGACCCTCCTCCCTCTCATGCTCTCTGTCTCTCATTCTCTCTCTCGCAAATAAATAAAATCTTAAAAAAAAAAAACTTTAAAAAAAAAATAAATAAAAGTAAAATCTTAAGCTCTAGATGCCAGGAAACCCCTCAGTCCCAGGCAAATGGGATAGGTGGTCACCCTAATGTATATACTTTTTCACCCACAGACATACAGACCTGAGCCCCAGCCCTGCCTGCTAGAGGGATAGTGCATATGGAAGACACTTTCCATCCACCCATCTGGGCAATAAACACTCAGGAATGTGCTGAGATTGGTCACAGTTATTTCCCCAGTGGACAGGCAGGCACTGGCCAGAGTCTCCAGAACAGCTGGGAAAGGCCTGAAAAGTATCAGTCTCCCCAGAGAGAATGGCCCAAGCCAGCCTCTGGCTTCTTTTGATGGGATCCTAATGGAACCCATGGCCCAGTGAGGTGTGATGAGCAGCAGCTGGGGAGACCAGAGATGCCAGCTCTGAGAGCCATCCTCATAGGTGTGGTTGTTTGCCAGTTTCCATTCATCACGTCATTAACACCCCGAAAAGAGCCTTTCACCAGTGAAACTGTACTCACCATTCTGTTGTTTTTCTCCTGAGGACTTCTCAGCTTTGGAATTTTTCCCATAAGGGTTGTCGCTTTTGTTTGTGCACGTTCCATTGACTTGATTCTTAGCTTCCCCAGATGTCTTTTTCTCGGCTTTGCCAGCCGCGCCTTCTTCAGCCTGGCTTTTGGCTTCCATTTCCTTTTGCTTCTCCTCTGCAGCCAGGCGAGCTTTTTCCTCTGCTTCCTTCTTGGCCTTCTCCTCTGTACCCATGGCAAGTCAGGAAAGGCACAGAAAAGATGAAAAGAGGTCACACTATTAGGAGAACTGCCTCTTTAAACAAAAACAAGTATTTGCACTGAGTGCTTGGGGTTTATTTTTGGTTAATTCAAGTCAGATTAGTGTGTATATTCAGGAAACCAATAAAATCGGTTCATGGTGATGTCATTTCTGAAAATAGTGGGTGAGAAGAAGGGGCAGGGAGAAAGTAATAATAATAATAATAAGGATAATAATAACTAATAAACCAATATAACAATTGTCATTTTCAATATCTATCATCAATAACTTCTCTTGAGTGTGTCCTCTATGCCAGGTATTATGCTAAGTGCTTTTCAAGGATTACTTCCTTTCGTTCTCAACACAGCCTTAGGCAGTAGCTACTATTAATATAACCCTATCTTATAAGTGCGAAGTCAAGGCTCGGGGACATTACAAAACCCTCCCACAGCCACAGTTAAAATTGGAGTTTCATGGAGATTTGCTTAGGCTCTGGAGTTTAAACATGAACAACTGATTACAAAACAGAAAGGAAGAATAATCGCCACAGTTTCAGGCCACTGTTTGTGAATGTAAAAGTAGGAAGAGGATAATTAGTCCTTACAAAAAGCCCGGTCTTCAAACTGTCCACAAGATTAGAGGTAGCCTTTAGTTTGGGCAGGTATCCTGGTCTGAATCTTCCCCTTTAATGAGAGAATGTCAGCTTTATTTCCAATTCTGTTTACTGTGAAAGGGTCTGGCTCTGTGTTTCATCAAAAACATAGCATAATTGCATATGGTCAAGTATTCGTGAAAAGATTGGTTCATTCATTCAACTAGTATTTATTGAGCAGCAACAGTATCAAGTACCATTTTAGGCGCTGGGAATGTAGCAGCAAGCAAGACTTAATGGAACAGAAAAGACCATAATTAAGTAAACAAGTCACAAAGATAATTTCAGGTGGTGAAAAAGGTAAAGCAAAAGTAAAGCAAAGTAATATGATGGAACAGGATCAGCATAAGGGAGGGAGGTGGCATTAGATCAGGAGGTAAAGAAAGTACTATCTGACAAATTCTTAATGATGAATTGCTGGCCATGAAATAATCAGGGAAAATAGCATTCCAGGCAGAGGAATAAAAAATGTCAAGGCCACGAGGTAGGAATGAGCTTGGGATACTGAGTTAGTCAATATGGCTAACACAGATTTAGAGGAGGTTAGTGACAGATGATGTGGTCAAACAACCAAGGACATGCAGAGTTGAGATCTTGCAGGGCCCTGGAGGCAATAAAGTGGCACTGGGTTGTAGGAATAACACACGCCTAAGAGACCCATCCTCCCTCATGGGACAGACTCACCCCATTTAGCATCCAACTGATTCAAAAGGCCTTCCAGATTGTGCCATCCATTATAAAAAACATTACTGAATTTTTTTTTCTCCAGATGTGTTAAAAATATCCCACACCTCACTATCAAGGGTCCTCTTTATTTTCCTTGATTAGTCTCGCTCCTGAAAAAGGTAGCCTTCATAGACAAGTTTGTAATCTAATGGGCACCCGGGTGGTTATGTTTCTCTTTGTTTTAGCTGCTTAAGAGCACAAAGCCCAAATCTGATCCAGTTCACATGTTCGTGGGGGCTTTCCAGCATTGTATTTTGTGGATGTCTTTGATCTCTGGCTTCATTTTGCTTTTCCTGCCCCTCCATTTGCCTGGCTCAAATGTCCTCCCTAATACATTATGAAGTTTTCATTAATCTTTTCATTGATTCATCCATCCAACCCATCCAATTCAATGCCCTGCTCACCCAGGACACATTAAATCATATTCTGGAGGGAGAGGGGCAAGGATAGGATATTTTAAATGCCCTCCAGTTGATTCTAACGTGCAATCAGGATGGACGAGGACTGATTTAAATTTTAAATGTTTGCCATTCTATATTTCTGGACATTCTGCTTCCCAATAGGATGCATTTATACTTTACAATGAAAAGTAAGGAAAGATTTCTTTGCAAAATAACTTAATTATGCACATATAGAGTATACTCTGTCTTCTGACTTCTACAGAAAGGTACAAATAAAGAGTAAAAAGAATGCCACAACACGGCATTCTCAGTAGACTACAGGGTCACAGAAGGCCCCCTGGAATGTTCACCCAGACTTCCTCTCATCCTCCCATAGTGCCCTGAGGACAGAGGTCAAATGTCATCTCCATCACTGAATTCCAGTGCTTGGTACAGCTCCTGGCACACAGCAGATATGCATGGAGTATCTGTTAACTAAATGAAACTGTGCATAATGGGTATGATTCCCCCTATCTGCCAATGAACCTGCCTTGTACATATTCCATCATCTGTAATCCAGGCCTGTGTAAAATACAGAAAGTATATAAACTCTAAAGTCCTATTGTGGAAGAGTTAGCCATTTGACAAATGTTGGTTTCCTTAACCACTAATACAGGAGAGTAAAAAGATGACTGTACTCACTCCACAGAGAGGAAAAGTGAGGGGGAAGAGAATTTTCATTCATACTCAGGTACCAGGTTAAATAATTCATGGTCCCCTCACAGAATCCCCATTGTATCTGTGGCAAACTTTCAACATTCAAAATATCCACAAGTTAAAAGTAACTGATAAAAACTGAAGGTGTTAAATTCTGGTTTGCTACAGAAGAGCATAAAATATTATCTGAGCATGTTAAGAAAAAAAAAGAAGAAGAAGAAGGTAGCGGGAGGGGAGGAATGAAGCGGGGGAAATCGGAGGGGTGGACGAACCATGAGAGAAGATGGACT